TACGCTTTCACTAGCATTATTTTAAATATTTCATGTTTAAGTTTTTTAAACTATTTAATATGTTTTGGTGGGAAAAGTTTTGTTTTACTTTTAGAATACTCATTAAAAATTTTAAAAGTTCATTTTAAAATTAATATTTAAATTGTTGCACATTTACAGGATACTGTACTGAAAGTAACAGTATAATTTATATTGGGCCTTGCTATACATACATTTTCACTGGCAGCATTGTGTTTTTGAATTAGATATTCCGCGTTCATATGAAAAGCGTTCGGTTTCAGTTGTGTTGCGAATTTCGTACTAAAATATGCAATTTAGAACTTGTGGAAATTAAAATTTTTTACGAATGTTTTCGAAATTGGCCCGGCCAGGTATCAGAATTCGGACAGATGGCGTATTAAAATAGTGACAAATATATGTTGGGAAGGGTTTTGGTGAATTTAAAAAATTAAGCAGATGTTTACGAATAAAAAGCTTTTCTCTGCAAGGCAATCACACGCGCAGTTAGTCAATGCATATAAAATTAAATAGTTCGAAATATATTAAAAAAATTAAGTAACTTTAATAAGTTCACATATAAAAGTGTATTCTTTCCAGTGAGCTGATCACGCTCATTAAAAATGTAGCTCAACGAAAAATAAAAATAAGCATTTGCGCTAAGTTTCACTAGCGTTTTCTCTTTTAGTTAAACATATATATACTTATATGTATAAGAGATAAACAGATATAAGTATGTAAATATATCTTATAAGGTCGAAAACGCTTCCTTCTTGGTATTTATATGTACGTTGGGACAAATTGAATATACTCTATATGATTTATAGGTACAAAAGCTAATAGAATAAATGTAAATGCGTTGCATCTTTAATTTGAACACACTTCAAAAACTTCAAATTTAATTTTATAATTCCTTTGAATTTCACTTTAAATTTACACAAAAAAAATATTTGTGTACAAAACCAAATATAGTTCACGTGTGATTTGTATCAAAGCTCATTTCGCAGATTTATTTCTATTTTATTTAATTCGTATTAGACAAGTAATAATAATATTTAAACATTTGATCCATAAGTTACATGTAATGTATTGAGAATAAAAGAATATCTTTTAAAAGTTCACCAGATAACAATTTGGCAGTTGAAATTGTATGCAACAATCGGCAGTTATTCATGTAAATGTGCTAAAAGCATTTAAAGATTCTATTTCAAGCTTAATATTATATTGTTCAAAGCTTAAAAGCGTCATATTCGCAAATTTATATGTAGATGCAATATTCAATGTAAAAACCACACGTAAGAGTGGAATTAAAAAGGGAAAAATGAGAAAAATGTGCATATATTTCGACTATTTATTTAGAAAAAATATTTATTGTTTAATCAAATTTGTGATTTAAAGGGGAAAAAATATTAATTGAGCGTATTTTAGGCAACACAATATTTAGTTTTAATTTAAAAACTTCGATTCGAAATTGTTTCACAAAATGTTCAATATTTCTTTACAGTTTTTAACAAAAAATTTGGTTTTTAACTGAAAATTGCCACATACAAAATGCAAATAGTGAGTGTTATTGAATCTTTAAATCTTCTACTTATTAAAACAATAATAAAAATATTTAACATATCTGAATCATTCCTCCATCAATTATGAATTTACGGTATTTGTTAGTGAATTGATAATTGCTCCATTAAAAAGAAAAAAAATCAAAATTCAGTCATTTTTGTTTCTTGTTTGAATTAGGTTCTTATTTTGTTGTAATTCTTGTATCGTTTCTTAATTGTATTATATTAATAAATAGATATATAGTGTACTATTTTAAATTTTTCTAATTTTATATTTAAAAATTTTAATACATGTTTTACTTTAATTGCACATGCTTTTAAAGAAAACTAAACAATAATATTTAAAATGGATAAATATTTTTCGATTTGTATTCTATTAATTAATTTTGTTTTCTTTTATGACATATCCCTTGTACTTAAAATCTTTACATCAACTTATATACTATTACATACATTTCTTATTAACTAGTATTAGTATGAATTGTATATATATATAAATTTATTATTGTATGTAAATGTATTATTTCGTGGGTTTAATATTTTCATATATAATAATGATTATGTTTGTTCATTAATCAACATATCGAAAGCTTTTTTATATTTTTATTATTCCTTCTAATTATATCGTGGAACATACATTATATTTATATATAAACACAGTAAATACATTTATATATCTACGTTTTTTACATTAATTTACAGTGATTATAACATTTTCAATTTATTAAGGTACAAATATTTTTTTTAAATTTCGCGAATAAGAACTTATAATTCTTTACATGAAAAATAAAATTAATTGAATATATTATTCTTGTTAATACTGAAAAATGAATTCGTCTAAATGCAAGCTACAGTCATTCAAACACAAATAATATTTACTAATTGGACGGAAACAATAAAGAATTTAAAAATCGTACTATTCTTTCTTTTTGTACAAAACTATTTCAATATTACAATAATAAAAATTAATGTTTTCTTTGTTGTTTGTCATAATAAAATTTTTGATAAATTTTGATAAATAATACCAGCGATAGGTCAAAACAGTATATTTAATAAGTGATAAAGAATTCAAAAAGTTATCATTTCCAATAAAAAGAAGAAATAGCATTTAATATTAACTTTTAATATAAATAAATGATAATTACTTATACTTTAATATTCAATACATTTCTCTTATGTTTGTGTGCAATTGCATGTAATCATTGTATGATCACAGATTTAAATACTCTTAATGTATTTTGAGAAATGACATAGAATTGCAAATAACATTAAATTTCTGTATTAAATACAAACTTTGTGTTTCAATTTCATTTAAAATACACAGCGTTACGTACATATATGCAATTAAACTTTGCTCTTGGTTTTTGCACTAAATGTTGACTAATTCGCTTTTTCATTTCATTTCATAAAAATCGAAGAAGTATAAAAATTATTAATCTTCGATTTGAAATGCAGCGTGTACAAATGCGGATTATAATTCTAAAATAGCTAGATTGAGATTAATAAAATAGTGTATCTGTTTTACTGAATGAAATATCCACATTTGTTTCGACTGACTTTCTGCTGTTAATGCTTATTCTTTTTGTATAATGTAACTTTGTTCGATTATGCAAATTTATATTATCGTCCAGAAATAGGAAATAAATTTTATAGCGACTAAAATATTATAGAGAATAAGGAATAATAGAGATAAGAAATTTTTTATTTAAAAGGGAAAAAAGATTTGTAGTTTATTTTTTAAGTAAGTATAATATTATAACTAAGTGAAAACGAAGTCGTCGTTCGAAAAATATTTTGATTTTCAAAATTCAAAATAAGGCTAATGATCTTGTTCTTGTTCTAATTTTTTCGTGAAATTTTTACACATTTCGGTTACAGTGTTTATTAATTTTTATATATACGAATATTTATGAGTAGATTTAAATTATATTTACTTTTTGTTTTCCTTTATCTAACGAATAATCTAAGTGTTTTATAATTTTTCACAACATCGATTTTTTTTACTTTTTTTTTAATATTTTACATATTGTTACAAAATATACATGTTTATATACTTATTTATATTTACATATAATGATGGTTATAATTGATAAATATAATTTTATGTAAAGTATATGATAATAAAAGATTCTCTCGGTTTTATTTGTGATTCTTGTTTTACTTTTTGGTAATTTTAAAATATTTTAAAATTTTACATTTTTTGTTTTTCAGTTTGCGTATTAGAAAAATATAATTTTTGTTAAAAAGTTTCTCTTTTTATTATATTTTGTTACATTTGTTTCAAAACTACTAACTAGTTAGCTACTCGTTTTTATTTTTTTGTTTTTACAACGCTTATTGAAGACACTTAATTGTTTAACTATAATTAAATACATATTTATATTTATTTTATGAAGAATTTATGTGAATTACTTTAAAAAATCGATTCAAATACAATATTTAATATATCGATATAAAAATATTCAATTTTAATGCTGCATTTTTGGGCATATTAAATATTTTGTTATCAATATTAATTAAATTTATAAAATTTTACTTATTCTTCCCATTTTAGAATTCACATAAATCTTTTGTGTTATATATAAGTACGTAAATTAAAAATTTTACAATTACAAATGTTTTAAATACATTTTAATTAATTTTTATTAAATATTTTATTTATTATTAGTATAATATACTTTCCGATAGCTATACTTCGTTATTATCGTACCAAATTAAATTTATTATTCTATTTATTATACATATATAATCCCTTTCAGTTTAATTTTGAATACTAACGCACTTTGTTATTCACACTTAAAATTTACTTAGGTAATTTTATCATTCTTTTTTGTTCAGTACAATTGAGTGTTTGTTACTTTAGCACTGAACAAAATAGCTTTTATATTGCGCAATCTAATTTTTGGCAAGGTGCTATATTTCTAGTTAAATTAAGTGTTATATACATATTATTGTTATGTGTATGTGTATAACACTTATCATATATATGTATTATGTATATGTGTATACTCTACTTAACATGTAGTATATATATTTTTATTTTACTCCTGATAATTTGCAATTAAAATTTTATTTGGAATAAAAGCGTCGACTGTTTACTTCCAATATATTTTAGCTCAAATTTAATGAAAACTTTTAAAATTTATCCTAAATTTGCAGTATTTGTGCAGAAAATTGGTAGCAATATATTTTGTGATGAATATTCAGAAAAATTTCATTTTGAACAATTGAACTACTTATGGCAGGTAGTTCGTATTGCTCTTGGAATCAATTTAATTAAATGTTATTGTGTTTCAAAATTCATAAATCATAATCAAAATTCATGTTTCATGTAATGAAGTATCATAATAATCAGCTACAGAAATTAAATATTATGTATTTAAAAATTTCAACTTGAAATATTTAATCTAATCAATTAATTATTTATTTTGGAAATTTAAGGTTGAAACCGATGAAACACGTTTGGTTCTAAGAAGTCACTGCAATTAATTTTTAGTTCGATACTAATTGTTTCCAAAGACTTAAAAGCTTTTAACAGACTTTAATTTTTAAAACCTTTTAAATTCTTGTATATTGAAAATTTAAATGTGTTGAATTTCTTTGGACGTATATGTATATAAGTAAAAAGTGGTTTTCGTATGATTTGTAGGTTTTTCATTTTTTGCTGACTTTTGAGGTGCTTGCCGCAAATTTAAATAAAATTCAAAGTTTCTGTAATAAATATGTTTACTATAATGTAATCTGTTCTTAACATAATTTTATTTTATTCAATATATATATAATATGTGAATATTCATTAAATTTGCGATAAAGTTTATTTAGACATTTTTTCTAATTCTTGTCATCAAATAGAACCTTTAACTCATTGTTTTGGGTTTTAATAATTATATTATAAATGACACCACTTCACTTAAAAGTTATGTACATTATACTTTTTTGTATTGTACACCTTTAGACCTAAAAATGCGGTTTAGCTTTCTTAATATATTTTTATTTTTATTAAAACTAACGATATGATCAGAATAATGCTTTAACATCGTAAATTAGACAATCAAATATATTAATTCTACTTTTAGTTTATTTTTTGCTTGGTAAATGTGTAGGTATGAATATATAAATTTTTATTATATACATGCATAATATATTCATATGTATAAATTCTTTTACGACAAAATTATATAAATTTAATATATATACTATTCCTTAATCTAAAATTTATATATATATATAGGTATATGTGTTGTTTATGCGCGATCTTGAAATTTTATGACAGAATTATTTGGTTGAAATTATTTGGTACGTAATTATATACAGTTGTTCGAGTAGCAGTTTATTTTACTTTTGTTGAATATTAATAGTTTTTCTGCCAATTTTAAAATCATTTACAAAATGTATGTTGTATAATGTACTCTTATATATATATATGTATGTATTAAATTCCTTATAATTTTTAAAAGTTATCACATTCTTTAAATAAACTTTTTCACAGTTTATATGTGTAAATTGTATATGTAAAGAATAAAATAAAAAATTAGACTTAATTGAAAATCTCATCCCAAGTGTATTTTAACTTATATATATTTTAGAGTTAAATTTAACATGGTGTAAAAGAACAATTTAATTGTAGTTCTAAGAAAAAAACCATCATGTATTTATTTTGTTTTATCAATATTCGACTGCATTCATACCGAATAGGGTGGAGCTATGTGTACCATGAAGTATTATAATAATCATTAAACTAGTGAAATACATATTAGGTATTATTATACAAATTAAGGAAGGGTTTGCCATTAACAATTGGAAACATATCTATAAAAAAACAGGTTTTATTTACATGAATAAAGAAGAGATTGCAGTGATGGCATGAATACAATAAACTATAAAATAAAGACAAGTTATACAGTCGGCTAAATAAAAGTTAAAATAAACAGTTACCTTGATTCCCCTTATAATTTAAAGGGATAAGGAATTGGTGAAAAACTTATTCTTTCTTAACAAAATCAGTCATAAAAAACTGTAAATGAAGTCGGTTTATCAGCTTCAATAAGCGGTACAACTCATCGCCTTAGATTAAATTTATATTAAAAATCTAGAAATGACAGATCAAAATAAGGGTCAATTCGAGCACCCAGTTTATCGTAGTTACATGTTCTAGCGCTTTTACATCGCAATATCTGTCTGATCTAGCTATAGTTACAATAATGAAAAGAAATGTACCATTACTAAGGGTTTGGGGACTAAGAAAATTTTTTATTAATAAATTTCGAAAAACAATATTGAATATTTTCTAACGAATATCGAGTGAGAATTATTCTGTTTTCCAATTTTTATTTCTAAATCTTTACATACACCTAACTTAACTCAAATTCTTTACAAAAACTTTCGTTTCCCGTTCATTTCATCATTTTTATTTTTTAATGTTTTATATAATTATTTACGTAAATATTATAATTTTTTAAATTTTAGTATGTATGTGTGTTATGTACATAAATATATTATTTTTATATATTTTGTTTTATTATCTAAATTTAACTTATACTAAAATATTAAAAATTATTTTTTAAATTAATTATTAAGAGGTGACGGTTCGATTGCGTATTTTATTATTTTTCAATTTTATTCATTTTTTTTATTGGATTTTACCAAATTTTTCCACAATTTTCATTTCATAAATTTTAATTTTTTGTTTAAATTTTCAAAGATTTTTTTATTTATTTTTGTTTTTTGTTAAAAAACCTTATTCCAGTTCAATATCTTAAATCATAAACATTTTCCATCGAATGATTTGAATTGCACAAAAAAAAAATTTTATTTATGTATGTATGTATTTGTTTAGGAACGTTTTCCGCTTTTCCATTTAAAAACTATTTAAATAACTTTTTTTTATTTTATTTGAAATTGAAGTTACATAAATTATTTAATTAGATTTTAAGAGTACATATCGAGTTTGAACAAAAAACAATTCGGTTGAAACTTTCATATTTTTAAAAGTAATATTATATTAATTGACGCAATTCTATTTTGAAGGAAAAAAATTCTATATGACTGCAGTTTAAACATTAAATTAATACTTTTATCCATGGAAAAGTAATTATTATAACTGCAAAAACTAAAGAAGTTTTAATGTAAAAACTTCACCCTAGTAAAAAATTTATAAAATTGTAAAAAGTATTTCAACTCAAAGTGAAAAAATTCTAATAAATCAAAATACCTCGCGATTTAAATATAAAGTACAACTGAAACATTTTAATTTATTTAAATAAAAACACGAACGATTTAATATTTAAAAACTTATTCAGGATTGAAAAAATTGAAACTTTGCGTTAATTACAAAATGAAACTATAAAAATACAAAATTTAAATTTCTAATTTTATAAGAAAGAATTTAAAAACAAGGCTCTATCATTTGAGAAAGAAAAATATATACCTCGTGCAATCTATCGAATGTTACTCTTATTAATTATAATTATATAGTTTGAATTAATTATAGTATTTTAGAATATGTTATTATTAAATTTACAACCTGAATAAATTTAGTTTTTTGTTAGAATCAAAGCCCACTCCTCATTTCAAAAAACAAATTCGTCAAATATGTACAGATAATTAATTTTGAAAATTTATTTGTGATTAGAAATTTAATTTCATATAAAATTAAATGAAATTTATTCAAACTAATTTTTCTTTATCATAAAGCACACATTTAAACATAAATTATCCATTCTGCTTCGTTCTTTTAATGTTCAATATAAATTTTATTTTTGGATTAAAAAAAATACTTTTGATTCCTAATTTCAATTTCGATTTTTAATAAAAGTATACATATCTAAATATAATTATTTGGATTTGTATTTCTACAAATGATGGAATAACGTTTTCAATTTGCCTATCTCAAGGGTTTTATTTTATTGATTTTTAAGCGTATATTTTTCTTAAATAAGTTTTTATAATATTTTAAATTTAATAACTACTATACATATTATCTAAAAGCGTTTAAATATAATTATAACATGTTCTTTTAATTTTTTTTTTGTTATAACTTGCATATAAAGCAAAAAATATTTTATACATGTATATATGTATATGTACATATAGTTTAAATTTTATCATCAAACTTTAACGTCATCACTATATTTGTGTCTTACATAATATATTTTTTTTTTCTTTGTCAATAAATTGTACTGATCAGGTCATCTCAAATTCAAATCCTCATATATTTTTTCCTCATATATAGCTATATTTATATAATATGTATAAATACACACATCTTTATAATTATTTTTCTCTAAATTTAAATGTTTCATAACTAAAAGTCGGATTTGAAATTTTAGCAAAAAAGTTTTTGTTTTAAAGTTTAGTTTGTTTTCAAATCAAGTTGTTTTAACAATATTCAAAAGGATAGTTTTATAATATTAAAATATTTAATTCAAATTGCAAAATGTAAAAGAGAATCAAGCACGAATATGTTATAAAATTATTTATGAACTATAATATTTCATTTTTCTAAATTTTTTGTATTAGTTTATTACAATAATCTTTATCAAATTGGCGACTAACGAAGCAGCATCTCATATTTGCATATTTACTTTAATATAATTATGCTTTTCATATAAAACTACCAAATAATTTAACAATTTGCCTTAAGTTATAATTTTTCAATCGAAATCGAGTAAATGCAGAGCGATTAAGCTCAAAAAACCCTTTAGTACATTTTTTTTAAGTATAGGCTTTTTATACATACATATGTAGTTCAAGGTGGCAAACGAATAAGAGAATAAAATGCATTTACAACTTCTAATCAAAAAATGTCACTTTTTAATACGTTTATAAATTGATAAGCCCAAAATGTAAGCAAAAACTGACATCACTTAATTGTTTTGCAAACGCATAGTGCCACTAAAAATGTGATTATTGATAGTTTTAAAAAAAATCATTGACAATAAATTTTAAATTACAAGAAGGATTGACAATTAGACACACTTAAAAATTTTTAAGGGACAGATTTTAAGAACACAAGTAATTAATAGAAAAATATTTCTACAAAATGGTTTATTAGAAAAAAGTATGAGTTTATAATTAATTTGCTTCGAAATTTTGTCTAATTGTTTATAAAACTTATTCAATATCAATAAAACTTAATAATGCTGCCGCGTTTTTTGTCTTAGCTGAACTATTTCATTTATACCATGTATACCTTATAAAATAATTCATAAAATAATTTTCACAATGCTTCATGTTTGATACTTTTGCTTTTGTTTTATAAAATAAATTTCTGATATTTCTGATAATAACTGATTCATAGTCCTTTTTTTCAATGCAAATTCGTCGTTTTTCTTTAAAAACACTTTAGCTTTTCATATACATATTTCAAATATTTTACAAATTTTTATGCACACGTTTATTTTATTTTAAAAAGAATTGCTTTTTTAACAAATTGTCAAGTATAAATATTATATATTATATTATATATCTGTATTATTATGTATGCAATAAAAAGCATTAACATTATGCAACATTAAAAGCCACGTTTTTCTTTTTTATTATATTATGCTTACTATATAATTAACTTTTATTTTATGTGGGTTAACATAAATTATTTAACTACAACATCAATAAATTAATTATATATATATTCTACATAAATTTAAAATTTTCTTGTAGTTTTTTTTTAAGAAATAAAATAATTAAATAATAGTCATATTAGATTCATAAGATTACGAAATTGAACTTAATTAATAAATGAATTTTTAGCTAGTAAAAGTTTACCATCGTTTTCATATTTCAGTGTTTAACTCTTATAATTTTGACTAACATATTATAACAGAAAAGTTTTGAAAATAGCATGACAGAAAAAATATTGAACTTTGCTTTGTTTAACATGAAACGAGGGAAATTGAGAAACGTTTTAATAATATTTAATAATTTTCAACTCTTTCCCAAAACATTTACAAACTCTCTCTGCAAACAATTTGATTTAAATTAATTGTTTTCAATTTTGTGATTTAAATTTATTGGTTTAACGAAGACAAATGTTCTCGAACTGAAACTAGAATTCTTGTGAACCGCATAATATTATAACTACTAATCTTTATATTTAGTGAACAATTTTTACCACTAGACAAAAAAAATCAAAGCGCATCACCATACTCTTTTGTATACACAGAAAGTACATAGTTGAAATGAAAAATGCCAAAATGCACAATTATCCAAGGAAAACTAAAACTGCGTTTAGTTTTCAAAAGCATAAATATATAGTATTTTACACTTTTTATATTATTTTCTCCTTTTTCAAATGTCGGATAGCAAAAAACGAATTATACATATTGTTATTAAACGAGAACAGGTAGGGTGTTTAAACCTATGATCAACTTTGTCAACTTTGTGGTACTCGGACGAATGAATGATTTTAAGATTAACTTAATGGAAATTTTTTCATACAACTGCCGAACAGATGGATAACGTAATCAAAGGAACGAGTTAAAGCAGAAAATTTTTTTAACTCGACCTGGACTCGAACCAGTGACCTATCGCTTTCTAGAGTTGTATTGATTTTATGAATTGTATTTTAATTGCATTTCACATTTGTGAAAATTTGGTTAATTTAGCTCAATTAGTTTTTGAGTTATTTCTTTATTTGAATAGACAGACAGACATGGTCAAATCAACTAAGAATTCGACGCTGATCAAAAATGTACACTTATGTCTATATTCAGACCATTATGTATTAGCATTACAGGCGGTAAAGCAAATTTACGAATGGTATTACAATATTAATATTACAATATTAATATAAATTTTGGGTTCCTTTTTCATACGACAATCATTTTGGTTAACTTTCTAATAAATTTATAAAAAAAACCTAAAGCTTGAATAACACTAATAAACGTTTAAGTCTTGCATATATGTACATTTTTAGAAAGTGATGCATCTTCTATATTGACGGCAAATAATTTTGTTCTAAAATTCAACAAAAAATCTAAAAATTAAACCAAAGTAAACAAATTCTTTTGTTAACGCCACTAAATACATTATGACACAAAGACAAAAAATGTACAAATTACATGTACATTAAATTGTTTTTAAATTTATTTTTAAAGCGATCGTTAATGATTTTAATTTATTTTCCTAAAAAAAAATAAAACAAAACTGAACAATTCTTTAGAATATGTTCGAGTATATTCATTTGATTTTCTTAAGAGAAAATAAAAAAAAATTATAGGCCATTTATGTTTTTTTTTTACATAAACATACATACATATGCATATATGTAAATGCATAAATATTTTAAAAATTAAATAAAATTTAAATACTGATTAAGTTATTTAAATTTTATGAATCTTCTATTTTAAAGAATATTTCATTTTTTTAGTATTTTTGTTATATATAGGTATGTATATATATGTATATAAGTGTATTTTTTAATTTAATTTTATTAAATTATTGTACGCACATGCACATTAATATGATTATTAATTAATTTTTGGTTTTCGATATTTGGTGTTTGTTTGTTTTATTTATTTATTTTTATTTTTTTTATATTTTAATACATTTGTTGTATTTTTATTAATTTTATTTTAATTTTTTTTTAAATTCAATTAAATATGTTAGCGCATAAATATATAACAAGATTTAAGAAGCAAAAATCACATTTAACTTTAAAATATATAATAATATTTTAAATACATATTTTTTTCTCTGTTCAAAGTTTTTTTTTTTTATATTATATATAACTAAGTTATTACTACTGTTTATATCTTTTGGTTTGTTTTACTACGTCCAGGTACAAATTTTCCAAAAAATTTTACTTTTCTCTAACATTATGCTCTTATAAATTTTACCAATTCAACTTTTATAAAGTAGAATTTGTTTACTCTCTTATTTTTTATATTTTTAGGTTTTAAACTTTAAATAAAATTTAGTCGTTTAATCTCAATTACAAATTTCTATTCTATTAATATACATTTAAAACATCGATTTCTATTAAATATAATTTTTTAATAAATAAACATACATACATTTTTGTTATTTTACTTGTTATTACGAGAAAATTTATTATATAATATGGTTGTTTAACTTATGTAATGATTTTTTTTTAAGTCATCGCGTTATTTCGGAATGTAGAGAACGTGATCGCTAAAAAAAAATTTTTTTTTTAAATTAATAGTTTTAAAATAAAATTTTAATAAATTAGTGTAAGAAATAAGTGCTTTTTTAACGGATTTTATAAGTAAACGAGTTTTATTATTATTGTACAATTATTATTTTCTAGAAGATGAAAGCGTTTTTGTTTTTTTTTTTTATTAAATTAATTACGACTTTGTATAATTTTTTTACAATGATTTTTATTGTTTTTTGTATGTTTTTAGCATTTTACGATATTTCATATTTTATTTTATTATTTTATTTCATGAATTATAATCTTCAATTACATCAATTGTTTTTTTTTTCTTTTTCCATTTTTTTATCCGATTTGGTATATTTGCTTAAATATTTTTTATATACATATATATATAAGTATGTTTGTGTATATATATGTGATAATTCTAAAAACATTTAACTATATGTATGGACATTTAATAATTCTTGTATATATATATATACGGATGTTCCATTTGCTTAGTAATTTAAAACATTTTAAAATTAACTTAATAATTTACAAGAATTCAAATTTCAGCTTCTTAAAAATTACTTTAGTGAAAAAATATTAATTGTTTTTCTGAAAACATTGAAAACTTATAAAAAAGCAATACGCATATAATATTTCCATGGATTAATCTTATATTTTACTAATCCATGCTATTTGAATTGTGTAGAAAAAAATTTAAATGCCAGTGTAAATTTTTTTATTTAAAAAAAATAAAAAAGAAATATACTTATGCATTTAAATAAAAAAATTACATTTTTAATACCAAATTTTAACTTTAAATGACATTGAAATGCAAACAGATAAACATATTACGAGATTGCCATTTCCTTGAGCAAAACATGATCAAAAATTTATATACAAAATTTTTTTATATTTAAAATATGATTTTGTTCTACAATCCAACAAAAATATTAATTACTTAAATGAAATTTTATTAAATACTAACTAAAAACAAAAATTCTATTAAATCATCATAAATTAAACTCTTACACACAATAAAAAAATTTCATTCACACGAAATTCGTTTGAGAAAACTAAATCTTATCAATTAGAAGTTGCTTTTTATGGGCCTAAAATATTGTTTAAAGATTTTATGCCAAATTTTTCCTTCTTAGCAGGTACCTTACGTTAAGTTGAATAAAACGCGCATTTATTTTATTTCTTAATTTTCGATTCTTGAATTTTATGGCATTTTGACATAATCGAGTTTATTACTTATTTAAACTTGTTAATTCTACTGGTGAATTTTTGCCTATGTTAGAATTTAAAATATCGAGTACGATCCATAATCGAGTAAACAAACTAATGATACACACGTATGAATTTACAAGATAAGATGTAAAAAAATCAACTTTAAAAACAAATTTTGCAGTGTTTTGTTCTAAATCGATTCATGCTTATTCTTAATTGTTTAACTTAATCAATATTATAAATTATTACGCTTTTCATATTTACATAGTTTAATTTTGTAAAAAACAAAAAACGGTAATTTTGAAAATTCATATAAATTAATGATCATGTTTTTTTTCTTTACCAATGCATTTGAATGATTTGTTATTAACCCTATTGTTTTTAAAATTTTATTCGTATCACGATTCTTAAATCATAATTTTATTCTGACGTACTTAAATAATACTTTCTTAAGAATGTTCGGTTAAAGAACAACATTAGTTTTGTTTTAGATTTATTGAAAACTTAAATTTACTTAGTTTAACAAAAAAAAATACGTTAATTAAATTAAGTGATTTTGCATTTACGATATTGAAATTTAAATTTCGTTTATATAGACGTGTTTATATTATGTATACATTTTTTTAATTGTACAAATTCTTAATTTAAAGTTTTTTAGTTTTTAACTGCATTCATTAGAATATTTACTGTTTCATTATTTATCAATATTAAAAATATTTTTCGAAGATGAGAAAAAAATTAAAAACGTGAATTCGTTCACTAAATTTCAAACATTTTTTCTATATTTGATATTTTCCGCAATTAACAATCACAACGGTACTTTGTGGCTTACCAGCTGAATCCCCAGCTTGACTAATTTTTTCTACTAAATCTAAACCTTCAACAACGAAAGCAAAAATACCAGTAAAACCACGCATTTCACGTAATATAATACGAAACTGAGATCCAACTAAACCTAAATTATCATGACGTTTTTGACTACGACGCATACCTACTGAACCACGTATAGCTAAAATTTTCGTATCATCAGGCATAAAGAAACTATCTTCGAATACAGAGCGACCACCACGACCGTTATTTAATTCAAAATCACCAGTAATAATACTTTCATTTTCCCAACATTGAAAAATTTGGCAGCCTTTATAACCAAAACCTAATTCACCAGTGGTTAAAGCACCAAAATTTTTTGCCATTTTTGGTGCAACATCATTACGAACTTCAATTAAAATTCTTCCACAAGGTTGACCATTCATTTCAATATTAAAGTAATATATCGGGTAAACGTGAACACTCGGATTACATAAAAGATTATTTGCCGCAGCAGCGGCTGCGGCTGCTGCTGCTACAACTGCAGCGGTTGTGGTTGGTTGCTGTTGCTGCTGTGATGATTTCTGTAACTGATTTGAATTATGTTGCTGCTGTTGTTGTTGTTGCTGCTGATGTAAATGATGTTGCATTATAGTGAGTGCAGGAACTGTTAAACCATTTAATTCGGTAGCAATATATGATGCCGTTTGTTGTTGTGTTTGTTGTGCTTGTTGCGATGATGGAGATTGACGATTGACAGCAGAGGGTGGTGCACCAATTGTACCAACAATGGAACTGTTACTGCTATTTGCTATAAAATTTTAAAATGGATTAGTAAATATAGTTCTTTTTACTGTTGTTTTTTTATGTTTCACATGCACAATCGGAAGATATTTAAACATTACCTATATATAGTTGCCGTATCTTACCTGAATGAAGTTGAGTTGAAGATTGGTTATGTGGATGGTGAATATGGTTCGATTTTGGTGAACTTGTTGTAATATCTGCATATGTTTTTACTGTTGTTACTAAATTATCGTGATGTGGTGGGCCTTGTGTCTGAGATTGATTTTGTTGTTGATGCTGCTGTTGTTGATGGTGATGCATTTGCTGCTGTTGATGTAATAGTTGATGCGCATGAGCATGATAATTATTATTATTGCTGTTGCTTAATAATTGCTGATGCTTGTTGGATAAAACGTGTCTTGAATATAACTGTGAGATGCAATAATTAGCCAATAAGAGTATTGGATTGTTGTGGCCAACACCATTACTTATAGCTGCGTTATAAGCATCACCATTTGTATGTAGAGCAGTCAACGCTTGTTTAATTAACTCAAAATTGAATAGCATATCGTAATTTCGTATTAAATCATCTAATTTGCACTGTAAATACATTTCTTGAAATTTCGTTTGTAATCGTTGCTTTTCAATATTCAATGTTGTATACAATTTTAAAGCATCCAGAGGTGATTGAGTTTCAATCATATCTAAACATAATTTTGCTTTACCTAAACTTTCACGCATATCCGCTATTTCCAATGTAGGCAAATGATTGATTAATTCAGTTTCAATTTGTGTTTTCAATGCTGTACAAGATTCTAAAATTTTCAATAGAAAATCACGTTGCTTCAATACCAAATGCTGTACCTCATTTAGAGTTTTTTGCATCAAAAGTATTTCATTTGCAATGTCATTATGAATATTTTCTTTTGCTTCGTTTGATGATTTCACACTATGACTTCGATGGTCTTCTGATGTTGCACATGCTCTACATATCATTGTTACACATTTTGTACACCATAAAGTATTCGGCATAGCATGTGTTAAACAGTTTTCACCCTTTTTTATCTTATTACTATTAACAACAGCAATCGTTGCACTACTAACAACATTTGTAGTTGTATTACTGGACGATAAGCTTGTATTAGTATTTGTAATAGAATTGCCACAAGCAACGCCGCTGCCGGATGTTGATGTAGCAGACGTTTGATTTGTGGTATTTGAAATGATACTTGATGCCGCACCACCAGTACTACCGTTACTGTTACTGCCACTCTTATCAGGAGGCTTTGATTTCGATGACAATGTTAATGAAGTTGTTGATGAGGATGATGTGTTTAACATACTTAAATTTTGAGACAAATATAAAATTGCATTATGTGTTGGCAAATTATCTGATTTCATATCTGGACCAGGTAATTCAGTACGTTTCCAACAATGAACGCAATACAGTTCATTACCTTTAAGTAAAATCGAATTGACACATTTTAAACAAAAATAATGACGACATGAAAATAATTTTGGTACTGCATCAGTATCATTAAATGGCAAATGACAGCAGCTACATGATATTAGTTCTTCTAATTCCGGTGGTACTGTCAAGTCCATCTGTAATACAAAAATGAGTATAATATTAGTGACACACATGCATATTGAAATAATATTTTCTTATCACATAATTTAGTCAATAGTTGTTTTAATAGCATGAAAATAATAACATAGGCTTACAGTTAGTTGTTATATGTCTAATTGGTGTTATTAATGATTGTTGCCTTAGCAAGAAATTTAAGAAAGTTGCCTTGATTTTAAATGTTCATATTTCACTATAACAAGTTTGATAACAGGGTTCATTCTATCAAAATATAAACAAAAGCTGTACATATAAGAAATAAATCTTACATAAATCTTAACAAATATTCGTACAGGTATAACCAAGCTGACCACAGTGAACTCGATTTCCTTCCGTTTTTCTATAAATTAATTACTGTAACTACTAAGAAGTCCGGGTCTTTCAATTACAAATTTGAAAGTGCATGTATAATATTTTTTTTAACAAAATCATAAAGTAATTTTGGTTAAATTTTGAAAATGCTGAAAAAACTTTTTCTGTTGCTATAAACTTTTGTACTAAAATACGATCCAAGTTATCGGATAAATTCATAGATGTATTATTATTCTTAAAGCCTCAATATTACAAAAAAATAATTACTTGGACTCGGACTCGGCATGTCAAAAAAAAAAAGCGAGTCTTCCCAAACTCTACATACAAGTTAATATTGTTCTGATTCTTCCTAGTAAGAGACTAAGATTTTTTGCTTTCATCCTACGTTTATTTGCTCAGGCTCACATGAAAAAACAATATTCTTAAAGAACAAACGATTTCTTACTTTAAATATTTTAAACATATGAATATAATTCATAAAAACGTGCATTATTATCATTAAGAAACGCGAGAGCAATCATTCTTCGTCGGCAAAATATGTGAAAAGTGGAAGAATTTTCGTTAAAAAGAAAGTGGTAATAAGAAAATATTGTAAATGAATGAAATTAACTTGAAATGAAAGTGTCTTAAGAAACACTTAAATAATTGAAAGAGGATTTAAATATCAAAATTTCTTTATTTATATAACAAATTTAAAAAGTAATTAAATAAGATAATTGATTAATTTATTTGTACGGATCGCGTTAGCATACAATAAGCGAGGTCTTGTGATCGCACTGAATTTCTCATATCAAGTTTTCACTAATTTCAATTTTTAATAATAAAGAAACTGAAATCAATTTTGTTTAATTAAATCAAGATATGTCTGTTACTCTGTTCCTCTATCGGTGTGCAGTAATATATCTTAATTTTGGCAGAATTGACTTCAGTTAAAATTGATATCAGAGTTTCCCTTAGGAATGTGATATGTTGACCAGTTTCTGCAGTATATCAGGCAATAAAAACTGAATCTTTTCCAAAGATTGATTTTACGTTTTATATTTATTTGGAGGAAATAATAAAATTTGTGTCTTATAGAAGGTATTTTAGTCTGAAAGTTCATTATCTGTGTTAACACAACGACTCATGCGTCGATATTTGACAAACTAATTTTGTGTTTATGTGCAACTGTATGTCAGCTATTGATTTAAAAGTTGTGTATTCCCAGCTCTACCGAACTCTAAGAATAAATTAGCAATAGTACACAAAAAACCCTTTCAAACATTTTTGAAATACGAGTATGTCTATCTATAATTTGCTGTAGAAACATTATTTCTGAACGAAATTCGGTTTTCAATTATTATCGCTTTTACTATATTTATAACAGTTTTATTTATGTATGGTTGTGTTTGTAAGTATATATTTAAAAATTGGTTCAATACCCCATTTTTGCTTTCTTCAACACAACTTTAAAAAAAACAATATTGTAAACTCAACCTTAAAATCATTTACTTCTTTATTTAAGTTTAATGAGAAAAACTTTTCCCACCTTTTCAACATCAACAGAATTGTTGTTTTGTTTATATAAAATAATATAAAAAGAAAATTCCAAAAACAGGAGAAATTTCCCATTACGGAATAAACATTTTTTCTCATTTTATGTTATTTGTTTTTCTTTTTTCTTTATTCATTATTCTTTCAGGATATTTTCTATTTTGACTTGCTAAGTCAGTTCTATTTGTATGTATATAATTTCTCGTTTTTCAGCCCTCCGGTATATTCAACACGTCATTTTCTCACTCGTTTCAAAAGTCTATTTTAACATTTTGCTGTTATTATTATTATTATTATTTCTACAATAAAGCAACTGGTAGCTTAAAAAGGTAATCAAAAAGAAAATTCAGTCTTTTATTTCTTTTACTTATTATTTTTTTAAGTTGCTTATATTTCCTTTCTGTATATTTTATTTGTTTATTTTTTGTTGCGAAGTCACGTCATAAAGGACGGTAAAATATTCCAGCAAGGATATCGTATGCAATGGGGCATTTTCAGTTTTAACACAACATTTTACATGAAACAATTTTGACAGATAACAAATTGTGATTGACTAATTGATTTACTTAATTGTTAGTCGAACGGAATAGCTCATTTGTTTCATTATACGTCTTATTCTGATTCTATTAGAAATTAAGTTGATTTTTTTTCAGTCGTGGTATAATGAGAATTAAGTTTCGAAGACTGAATTTATGAATGGTCTATATAAGGCCCCTTATAAAATTAGCTAATTTGTTTGCAACTGATTTTCAGTTTAAATATGTTCTCAATATTGTTGTATGCGAACAGTATCCGTTATTATGTAAATATTTCCGTATTCCTAAATTCCGATTCTTTAAAGATCGAATTTGATTATCAATCCTGGTAATAATGCACATAACTTGTGAAACAATGAGCAAGTACGATAACTAACAATGATTTTCACCGTATTTAACCACATTTCGAACAAAATTAGGAAAAACTATTCTTTTATATCTGTGCGTCTTTTCAAAAATCGTTATTGAAATTTAGTTTTTGTTTTCATCCGGAAGTTATACAATAATTACAATATACTTTGGTATATTAAAGAGAGTATTTTACATGAAACATAAGTAGCTTGTTCTTAACATAAAAAGTGTTCTCGCTTGTTGTAAGGAAATTTGTAACATTAAATAACCACTGATTTGATTCAAATTTATTTTATTGTGAAAGAAGAAATTGTTATACTTTAAAGTATTTAAGGGTCTATAAGTTTGAGTTAAAGCTTTTATCTAACCTTTCTTGTTTTACATTTCAGTTTTAATAAAATTTTGAAAACAATTTGCAGAAAAGTGATCAGAAATTATTTACTGATTTTGATCTACTGGCTTTGATGCTAAGATTTCTAGTTTTTTCAATCGAAATTGTTAATGTAAAACCGAAATAAACTTTTTTTGGCACTCCAATAATAAAATTTGTTTAGTTAATTACATAAATATTTTAGTCTTTCAAATAATAACAAGTGTGGTTTTAAATTTAATTTTTTTTACAAATATTTTTCCACTTTTTCACTAATTAAATTGTGCAAATTATTGGAATTATATCATTATTGGAATATAGGCGCGTATATCATTACTTTATCAAGAATTGATTTGATTCGTCAGGCTAAGAGTATTATTACCTTTTTTTTTAATTATTCTCTTGTTCTCGTTTTTTATATTTACTTAAATATAAAATTTTTGTTTTATATTTTTATTATACTTTTACCGACCGTATTGTGTATACAATAGGTAGGTGATGTGATGGCAACAAATTTTGCATATCGAGTTTTCGATGGAAATGCACTTTTGCATAGTAGGGAAGTGTAAATAAACTATTTTTAGCAACCTGTCGGTCTGTCGATCTGTCGGTCTGTGTGTGTATACGTGTGTATTTCGAGTTCTGCTGAACCGATTTTGATGAAATTTTATATGTAAGTTTATTTCCACCATGGCACGGATTGATCAACTTTTGAGATCAACTTTAGCGGGCCTGTTTTACATTTTTGAACATTTTGAAGAAAATATTCAACCGATTTATTTGAAATTTCATATATAAGCTTTGCTCGACCGTACGCGAAAATTCCTAAGTTTTATCAAGGCTCGAAAACTGATCTGCGTGCCGATTTTATATTTTCCACCATATCTACGGAACGAATTGATGGAATTTCTTGAAATTTGAGTTCTGGTTGTTACCGAAACTAACTGGCGAGCATTTCAGGGAATTCGGGTAACACAAAGCGAAGCTCTACTAAGAGCCAAATTTACATTTTTCTCGGTATGTTAACTATAAGTTTACTAATGTCCTAAAAATTGGAAAGAAGTATTTAACAGCCATTTTTATAATATTCTGTAACACTTTCACTTAACTAGACAATACACATTGCGGTCCGTTATGCGCTGATCACATCAGATTTTTTTGATTTCTTTTTATATTATTTTTACTGTTTGATAAAAAGGCAGGAAAAATTCTCAGAAGAAAATGAACTGAAATAAGAGAAAAATAATAAAAAGACCTTTGCTTGTTAAAGTTGATTTTGCCAACTGGTAAAAATGTTATTTTTAATTTATTTTTTAACTACTTATTTCTGTTCTCTTGCCTTAAAATAAAGATGCACAATACTTTTACAAATGCTTTTTCAAAAATTATTAAGAAGTAGAATAGCTAAAGAATTAAATAGAAAATAGAAACTTCCTAGATACTTTCTTTTACGTATTTTGCTCTTTTTGCAGTTCTTTCTAACTACGTTGTTCTTTCTTAATAATAATTTCTAATTTCGTTGTTCTTTTTTAATATCCTTTTTAAAGCATTCCTTTAAAAAGTTTTATTTTCTCTGTCAAGTTTTTTTTTTTTTATTTACTAATGATAAATATAAATTTTTTTTTTCAATTTTTATTTTGCTCATCTTTTTATAAAGTTTAAATTAATGAGTTTCTTTTTTTCTGCTTATAATCTTAAAATCAATTCTAATGTTGCTTAGAGAAGTAGTTTTCTTTACTCGATCAATCCTTAACCTTTCATATTAGTCATAGGCCCCTTACAATAAATATTTTGGTACATTTGAAGTTCCGATTAACACAGAAAAACAAAGTAGACTATCTCTAATTTTACTGAAACCATTTCTATTCATGTAAAT